CAGGGAGATAGCAGACGGATCCTACGGGACAAAAGGGAGACTCCGATAAGACCTATGGAAGGAGGACTGCGTAACAATATCGTAGACTCTGATCAACATTCCCGGCTCGAGTATGAAGGGAAGTGAGAGCAGTTTGGTTTTTTAACACTTTAACTACTAGCAACGAAGGCCACAATCGCATTGGTAGCTAATGGCAATGAGTGTGCGCTCCACGGTTTATCCTCGGGATGTGGCGTTCACATTTTAATATTTGAGATATCTTAATCATATCTAGATTTTCCACGTTTTTTTTATTGTATCACTGTATTTAAATAGGTACTTGTCTATTATATTCATTTTTTGTTTTTATTCCTTACATTGCCTTCTGTTTGCTTATCCGTTTCATTCTGTGTACAATATCTTGACCTGCATCATACTATATTATCCTCCTAAAGTATCCATGCATGTTTGCCTGCTTCTGGTGTCTCCCTTCATGTGTTATATCATTATTCTTGTTCTATTGTACCCCGGTTCACAGATTCGAATTCAGATATTCGACTTGATTCTGACGATGAAGAAAATATTTCAAATTCTGCTAGCTGTTCTGAAGGTTCAGAAGACCTCTCAGATATCGTATCATCCTGTACCTCAAGACCTATGCCTTCTGGTAAAGTAAGGAGACCGCCTCCCATGCTTGTTGACTTGGCAGGTGGAGCAGATGAGGCATCTCTTGATATTCTTGCAGAAGTACGGTTGGAGGGTTGCGAGCTTCGACCTCAGGATGTGGAGGATATAACTACAGGCGACCTTGAGGAAAATGAGGATGATGTTGCATGGGCCACGAGGCTTGCTCGGGCGGAAAGAGTCGCTTCAGATCAGGCTATGACACAAAAATCTATCGGTACGTAACAAGAATAGATAATAGTCTGTGCTCTTCTCATTTTTGCCATTTGAGTGCATCTCAAGGCTTAGCTTTGTGAAAATTAATGCAAATTTGTTTTGTAGATATAAAACCAGGATGGTGTGATGTTCTCCTTTAACTGTATAGTGTTAGTTTAACCTCGTTTTCGCAATTTGGTCGACAGGGAGACCTTGTGGAACTTACCTAATCCTGCGTCCTCTGCCAGAGTATTCCAGTTACTCGTCTCTGACAGGTTATAGTTTGGTCCTGAGAATAACAAGAATTACTAGTGCTGGGAATGTACTAAGTCCATAGTCCAATGCTGG